ATAAAATCCGTGATACCGATCTGATAACCTTGATCTCTTAATTTGGTTACGGTGTAAATGGAATTCAAGGAATTTCCACCAAGTTCGTAGAAATTCGCGTTTAGCATTACCGGTGTGCGACTACTACGTCCGATTACGGATGCGATGGTCGGAAAGAGGATACGGGCTTTTGCAAGATCTTGACTTGGCACTCCGGTGTAATCGCAATTCATAGCAACGTGGTCTTCTATAAAACAAAATTTTTTATTTTAGTCAGTAAAACATAGATCTTTTAAGTTAAATTATAAATTAGTCTTTTTTTAATTTATTGATAATTAAAAGAAATTGGATCATAATTTATTCTTGTTTACATTTGGATTATTAATTTTTGAAAAAGTAAAGATTACAATTTAGAAACTAAACTTAATATAAAATTTTCTTTATTTTTTTTAATAAAAGTAATTTTTTTTTCAATTTTAGTGCAAAAGCAACTGTTGTTAAAATAATTCACATAATTTAATAAGAACTCAATAAGAAATTGTCAAATTGATTACTCAATAAAAAACAGATATGAAAGAAGAAAATGAATTCCTTTTGATCTTACATTTGCTACTTAACTTACTTATATCGTAGACAAGATTGGAAAGATTATCCTGATCTCATGTGGTATCATATGTATGAAACTATGTATGAAACTATCTATGTTAAAAATGAAAGAAAAGAAATACATATGCATAAATTCGGTTTTCTTAATTATAGATTAGTCACTCGTTTCACATAGTTTCATATAGTCTTGCAGCTTATAAATAGACATCGGATTTTTTATATGCAGATTGGTGGAAAAGAGCAAATAAAAAATCTGATGTCCTCTTATAAATCATCTATTTTTATACGTAAACGTTTACATATAAGACAGTTACATGTAATTAAAATATAACTAAGTAAAATAATTAATATTTCAATACGTTATTTAATATTTCAAAGAGATATTACGACGTACGTATCATTTTACTTGACAGAACGATATAAAATCATCACTAGTTTGACATACCGTCATTAGAGCAAGATGATTCGTATCTCCTTAGCAATTCCTGTCGATCCGTTTTCCCATTTGTTAGAAGAGGTATGTGATCAACAATAAAAATTTGTGGTAACATATATGGCGGTAATGTCTTTTGAAGAAGATTTTCGATATCCGAGCTGGATAGGGTCGTGCCATTCGTAATGGTAACGAACGCTATTAATGCCTGAAAATATAAAATATACCTGTATAAATTAAACGTTAGAAAATCGGATTCACATCTTTTTTAATTCTTTTTAATATTTGTGTTTTTAGTAGCTTTAGTATAATAGTAATTTAGAAACAATGCTTTTAGAATGTTTAAACAATAAAACGTTGCCGATAAAAAACGTTTTTAAATTTCATGAAACTGTATAGTAGAATAGTTTGTTTGGTGGAAGCTATTAGATGTATGAAGCATATTAAAGGTTCGTTTTGTATTTAAAGCGAATAGAAAAATTGATATTTGTATGCTTATTTAGCTCTATATAAGATATTTAGGGAAGATTTTGAAAGAATTATTTTTTGTGAATTTTTTTCAACATATTTACCTTTTATTTTGCACACAATATATATTGAAATATTTACCTGTGACAGTTCGCCGGGTTTGTGACAGAGAACCACAACATTATCAATATCGGGTACCCTGGCGACTACCTTTTCGACTTCCGTGAAATCGACACGGTGACCTCTGATCTTAATCTGCGAATCCACTCTTCCTTCGTAAATTACCGACTCTTTGACAATTTTAGCGTAATCACCCGTACGGAAGATTTTTGGATATTCTGCAAATATTACATTTTTAAATGCGTAACGAAGTCGTAATTCTTTCCACTAAAAAAACGCGACGTTTTGCTTACAAGAAAAACCAAGATTACGAATATAGAATAATTTGTAGGTCGCAATAAATTCTTCAAGTTCGAAAGACGTAGAATATTCGATCTTCTTGTTGTGTTATTTTATTTTCTCACCTGGATCATTGGCATGAGGATTGTCCAAAAATTTATGTGTGTCTCGTTCGCATATATAACCCGCGGCAAGATTTCTTCCAGCCACGATCAGCTCTCCGACTTCTCCCTGGGGGATCAGTCGCAAGTCTTTGTTCACGAGATAAATTATGCAGTTGTCGATCGGCTTTCCTGCAAAGACACAGCGAGCCATGTAAATGTTGTTCAGCGATTATTATTTATTGGTAACAATAATCCACTAAAATAGACTTTTAGTTATTAGCTTAGAATTAATTAATTAATGTTGTTATGCTTTGTTATATTGCTATATTAATTATTTTATTACTTTTATAACATTATTTTATTTTTTTTTTAACTTTATTTTATTAATTTTACCGATTGGCACTTTCTCCATCCCTTGTAATTGTTCCCGTTTGTTTAATAGGTAATATGCAACGTCACCCATGACTTCCGTGCTACCGTAGAAATTAGCTAATACCTTGTCCTTGTTGTCAAACGTGGTGAAAAATTGATTGGCCAATGCGACCGACAAAGTTTCTCCGGAACAGACCCAGAGTTTCAAGCGATCGAGAACGTTGTCATTATCCTGTGCAAAGCAACGACAGACCGTATATTAAATCCGAAGTGTTGCAAAGCGGTGTACATTTCTTATCGTGTAAATCATAACCGTGTCTCAGGTGTCTCGATTTGCGATAACATTGTAAAGATAACGATAAATGTATAAATTTTCTAAGCCGCTTAGGATAATAAGCATAATTTTAATTATCCTTAATTATCCTTATTGACAGATACCTTATTAACACCTTAATAACACAGATATCTCGACAGCACGACTTTCGCTAATTAAACATTTAATCGAATGCTCGTAATCGGTGTTGGGTAATTTACAAGCGCAACTGATATTGATTTGTGGAAAAACTTCTTAATTGAGACACCTCGATCTGGAAATCACTGAATTGTGAAAGCGTTGATTCTTATTTATTCATATATTGCTTCGCATGTACATTTTGTAATTTGCTTAAGCGTGTCTAACGTTTCCAAACTAATGTTGAAATGCTAAAAGTAAGAGGCTGCTTAAGATTTTCGCGAGTATTAAAGGAAAAACGTCAACACGTCTTATCATCGATGTATAATGAATTACTGTATATCATCATTGTGAGATATTGAAAGCTACTCATTTTAATAATCAGGAAAGCACGTTGTTCTTAACCTTTCGTATAATGTTGCGTAAAATTACGATTAAAATTCCCGAAAAATTTACGTAATAATAATAGGTTCGCCTGTCTTGCGATAAATTACATGTGGAATATAACTTTACATACTCACTCGCAAGTCTAGATACATGAGCAATGAACGCAACAACGATGGCACAAGGACTAAACGTTGTATCTGAAACATAGATAATTCTTTTTCTTTGTCATAAATTAAGTTATATCACATGTACACGATTATAATACTTGTACTGTTATAATTGTGCACGATAAATTAGTGAGTTTTTACCTGATGTTCTTCTAAAAGCGGTATAAACTTTTCCGGATCTTTAGTCACGCTTTTCGGGACAATTACTAGGGTACGGCTTTGTAAAAGAGGTCCCCAAATTTCGGCAATACTATCGCCGAAAGTAAGGGAAGTTTTAAAAACACATCGTTTTTCATCATCAGCGTATGGAAGTTCCCTCCATTGCCATTGTAGACGATTCAACAGAGTAGCATGCGGTATAAGCACACCTTTAAGAAGATAAATGTGTATATTACAAACAATTATGATCTTCCAGAGCCTTGCTCTTTTACAAATTATAAATTCACAATTTGCTACTCTTGTCTTATATTTTTCTATAATTCAAACTAGGATTAATATTTTTTTACAGAAGCACAGTTCTTATTTGCCACGTATGAACATGATATCGTAAAAATATGTTGTTACGACATTTAGTAACAAATAACGTCAATTTATAATAAATAAAGACGAGTATGCACGCGTTAAATTGCTTTTTTATGTTGTATTATTAATTAGTATCTATAATAAAATGTGATATTATTACCTTTCGGAATTCCTGTACTTCCGGAAGTATAAAGAACAATAGCGAGTTGATTCAAGCTCTCTTTAGTTTGTAATGCATCTTCTTGTTCTTGTTTAGCTTTCTCCAAAAGTTGTTCATACGTTATGACTAAAGTTCCCTCATAGATTGATAAATCCGCTAAATCGTATTTTTAGTTAATTGTTCATATTGGTGACTCAAGTTCTCAAGTTCACTTATTTAGGATTAATTATTATAGAATTTTAAGATTCATAATTTAGGATTAAAAATATTATTAAAGTTTAATCTTAAAAATTAACAAACATTAATATTGTAAAACATTGGCACATTTTATTTAATTGATTCTTCTACCTTCTAGATAAAAGCAGTAAAATTATATACATAATAGGTAAAACTTGAATAAGAGATAAGTAAATAACTAAAAATAAAATAAAGAATTACATAAAATTAAATGTAGAAATCGAATAATAATAAATTAAATTTTTTATGATATTTATTTTGGAACACTTGTACGATGTAAAAGAGGACATTTACCTCCTTCCTCGACCACCACTATTAATGGTTGCGCTTCTTCGAGAATGTGCTTCACTCTAGACATCGGAAATTCCGCGTCCAAAGGTAGATAAGCCATTCCTGCTTTCAGTACACCAAGTAATACAGTTGGAAGCCGATGCGACGGTTTCATGCAGACAGCTATTAATGACTGAGAAGTTGTTTCAATCTTTTCGTACTTTTGTAAAGCTCGTGCCAACTGATTGGTGATGTTATCCAATTCTTTAAAAGACAGCACGTATTCCTGGCCGGCGTCATCTGTATCGAGTTTTCAACAATGTTTAGATACAGATTTTCTTTCCATAGAATGTTTACATCATCATAGACATTATTTAATACAACTGGTTATTTGAATTGTCAAAAATCATATTCTAGACCACTTTCTCGATGTGACTTCTATTATATTTTATATCGAGAAACAAAACCTCTTACCTTTGTAATATAACGCGGTTTGATTTGGATGGACTTTTGCTGCACGACTGAATAATTCATGCACTAAATCTTTTTCCTGACTTCTTCCTGTCTGCTGACCTCTTAAGATCGATTGCTGTTGCAAAGTACTCATTTTCAAATGTTCGTAGAAATTGTAACTTCTTGCTTCAAATGTTAAGATCTAAGTAAAGATCTAAAATTTAAATAAGAATAAAAATTAATAAACACGTATTTATTATTAAATTTATAAACACATTCAGAGGGTGAAATCTTGTTTTTTGAAGATGATAGTTTTATAGAGATTAATTGATTATTTTATATAAATTTTTTATATTTTGCAAAACAAAAGTTTACATTTTGTGATAAGAAGTGTGTAAAGAAATATTGATATGCACACGGAAAAAACAGTATAGTGTTGGGATACACAAATCTGATTTTGCCAACCAGATTTATTAGTATAAAAATATGGTACGACCAATTATGTGTTTGCTGCAACCATGGCACAGAGCAATCGTCGAATGACAATATTGCAGCAGTGCGACGATACCTGGTTGCTCCAATTAAACTGTTACTTGATTACTTTAATTACAAATATTTTAATGGCAACTGCTTAATTGGTTGGCTTAGATAATTCTTGATGTAGTAAAAAAGTAAATCGCTATCACACCAGTGGTTACTCTAAATACGACCATATAAAAATAATAAATTAATCGCTAATCCATAATGACAAAATAGAAAATGATGAAGTCGACACAACGAACTCCTCAGCCAGCATACTTACTTATGGACACACGTATGTATACACTTGTACTTATATGCGCTTATATTTGCAGTAAACCGTCTTTGTATCAGCGATGCTAGGATAATACGCGCTATTAACACGTTGCAACGTATGCAGGGAAACGCGACTCGTGACTCGCTAGTTTACTTACAATTTGTTCACTATATATGCGTTAAAAAATGTGCGCTATCAGTGCTATCACATGTATGTACATACACATTTGTAGTTGCGTGCGTAGTCGCTTTTGTTTTCTGAAATCGCTGTTTGAAGGCCAAAGCACATAACATGGCTTTGGTAGCGATCGCTATATGACAGTCGTGGACATAACGCACAAGCTTTGGCGTATCCTGACCAATCCTGACTGTCAGAATACGTCAAAGCTTGTGCGTTACTTATGTCCACGACTACGACTGTCGTATATATCGCATTTTATGTGCTTTGGCCCTTTTAGCATCCCGATTGATGCAACTATATTGATAGATAATCATCCATAATAAATGGTCCTCAACCAAGTTATAGTTGTGGCAATCAAATCACGCGCAACTACATTGATGCAGTTCTTAATTCTTACACGCAAAAAAGATTAGACTCTAAAAAGATTAATTAATATTTAATTTAAATATATTATTATAAAAATTATAATAGCAAAGTTTTTGAAAGTAGTGGTGGACAAACCATCAGTTTATATTTTTAATATAACATTAACATAATTATTTTTTAAACCATTTTAACTGCAATAATTATTATTTATATCTAACTCTATTAATCATTTTTGAAATAAGTAATTTATCTAACACTAAGTAAAGACTAATTATTTTTTACTAATTATTATTTTTCAAATACGTCGATCGTAATTTATTGTTGACAAACTATTAATTATTTTAATAATAAAGAATTTATTTCTATTAATTACCAATTTGCAAAAAAAATTAATTTATTTTCACCTAAATACTAACTTTTACGAACTAGAAATTTTTCTCTGACAAATTACAAAGTAATCTGCAATTTACTTTTACCTAAATATTACGTGAAAGCTTAAGTATCATCTTGCAAAAATTCCGGTAGTGACTATTGGTTTGTTCATATTTTTATAATATTTACTATTAAAAAAATATATACGTATAAATATTTCTTAATTATGGCATATTCTCTCTATATTATTTTTGCAATAATAGCACAATTTTTTATTACAGTTAGCACATGTTTATTATTTTAGTCTCGTATAGCACTTCACTTACAGTTCAAAGACAGTCACAGCAAGAGAGAATCTAATTGATAAGGAAACGTTGAAACAGTTGTAATAACTTTGGCAGTCAACTAAACGCGGTTGAAATATATATGATATACTATCTTATATATGGAGGGGTAAAAACCACAGTAGTGTAAGTCAAATTTTTAAAAATATTTTCTCGTGTGCATAGATGCAATTTATATATTGTACAGATTGCATCTATGCTCGCGAGGAAATATTTTTAAAAATTTCACTTACACCACTGTGGTTTTTACTCCTTCATATATATATAAATAAGAGAAATTAATATAATATTTCTTGTACGAGTGACTCGAGTATATTCGAAAACAAGATTATCTAACAATACGCAATCTTATACTTAAGATTATCTCCAGCCGAGTGATAACTGATACGATGTTGTTGATAACTGGCAGAATTTTCAAGATTGCATTAATATTTCAATTTTAGTAGCAGATATTGAAAAGCATCGACAGAGAGACAATTTGCAGACCGATATGCAGTACCAATAAAACTCGTTACCAATTAATACACTGAAAAAAAAAATACTTAGATCCAAGAAAATATTTTTTCACATAGTACCAATGGCTTATTTACTTAATATATAATCACATATTTATTTAGAATTAGATATTTTTACTTAATTTAAATAAATTATTATTTTTACTTAATTTATGTATATTATTTTTACTTAATTTAAGTAAAGATATCTAATTCTAAATAAATATGTGATTATATTAAGTAAATAAGCCATTGGTACTATGTGAAAAAATATTTTCTTGGATCTAAGTATTTTTTTTTTCAGTGTATAGTTATCATTAGCAATAGATATTATCTTGACATATCTTTTTGACATATCTCGTACTCGCCTTCGGCTCGTGCTGCAAATCACACTCGTACTCGTGTGAATGCATTATAAGCCTTCGGCTCATGCGGCAACTTCACGCGCGACGTAATTCGTTGTTTTCCACACTTGCTACACAAGATACTATTACCTTACCTTATCTTGTTATTTCTACAAATCAGCTTCGATCTGCCATTAAATGAGTAAATTTTTACCTATGTTGTGTGACTGCGTCGATACGATAAACAGATTAATCATTTTCAGATAAAAACTTTTTCGCGACGATAAATGTATTTCTCAAAAATACGTATAGGATAAGAGTAAGTCAATATTAACACATAATTGATAATATCGATATGATATGATACAGTCGCGGAATCAAAATATCTATTGAGAACAGATTCTATAAAGTGACATTCTGTATTAAAGACATTCAAAGCTGCAAACGTCGTCGACAAAAGACAGAATCTAACATATATAATAGGGTAAACTCGGATATGATGGCCATACGGAAAAGATGGCCCATGGCTGTAATTTCTCCAATAATGGCTAAACAGTGCATTTTTGTAGTCATTCTCAAAGATAATCAATATTTACAGTAGTTTATGTGCGTACACTATTCAAAATAACAATATTGTGAATATTATATCATATTTTTACTTTCGACTGCCTGCAAAGTTTTTCATGTGTCCGCTAAAAGCTATGGTATAACATTAAATAAATTATAGTTAAGCTGCCGTAATCAACGTTACACACATAATTAAGCTATGTAAATTGTAATTTGACCTATAATTTGTATTTTTATTTTTCAATATTTATTTAAAAATACTATGATTATCTTTTCTGCTATGGCCATCTTTTCCTTAAAAGTCAGATAAGATGGCCAATGCATACGTTGTAATACTTTGATAATATAAAATTTATGTTAAGTGTTTTCTTCTTAATTGCGATAGTTTTACGTACTTTAAGCTTCAGTGAAGGAATATACCAAACACTGTTAAAATATAACAAAAATAAATATATGTTTATTGCATTTTAAAAAACTATGGCCATCTTACCCGAGTTTACCCTACAATGTTATTGACAGAAATGTGGCAAATTGCCAACAAAGCATAATAAGAAATTGACGGCAGAGATTAAGCAGATTTTTACGTACTTGCTATACAGTTTGACGCAGATTGTTAGCAGAAATCGAGCAGAATATGCATTCAACGAATAAAACACGAGCTTAATGTTTGGTATACACCAATTGATGTCAGTTTGTCAGCAATTTCTGATCGAATTTGTTGCCAATCTGTTGGCAAATTGCGGTCAGTTTTGGGGAATAAAAATACATGTAAATATCTCTGGATAAGCATGTTAAATATTAATAATAAAATATTAATTAGGAATTATTATTTGTGTTCATATAATTTCTCCACTTTGTTAACAGTGGATTATAGGTAACGAAGATAACAATTTGCAGTATTTATCTTTAGTCTTAGTATAATATATATCCGTATTCTAAGTAGCGGAACGATGTCAAGAAATGATATATGTAGTAATGTTAATTTTGGACTACCCAGACGTCACTACTCGTCTTTTGTCGTCACTCTACAACATGATATATTATTTTAATATATTGATAAATAGATTTGCGTATCACTTCCTACAACAGCAAACTAACTATAATTTTAATTAATTTTATTTATTATTTTCATTTTTACTAAATATATATGTATAACATAATATAAATATAAGAAGTATATAAATAAAATATAAATATAAATAACTCAATATTTGCTATGTTAATACATTGTACACAATGTTGATAAAAATGTATAACACATCATTTTAAAAAATATTGATGAAATTTAAAAACGTATAAACTAAGTACTTTATTAATCACAACATTTGTATTTTTAAACTTTACAACTTTTTGTTGTCATTTTAATTTAGATATATAGATACGATTGTGTAATATAATTTCATGATAATATACGATATAGAGTTAAGAGAAGCAAACAATATTGTTTAATTAACGTTATTTATATTTTCTGTAAACATCTCTATAAAAAGCTTAAATTAGATATTATGCTGCAATACAATTTCAGAATTAAAACTTTGTTGGAAGTATTCAATAATACTCCAGGTAATCAATGTATTATCTTTACTATTCACTTTTAAGTACAATTATCAAATTATTGCATACGGTTTTTAGATATGTTGCAATTTGAAAATGATCTGCCGAAACACTTGCGGATACGCTAGATGAACGTATAAGAACTAATGAAAAATATTTCAAGATGTGAAATATAAGAATATAATTTATTTAATTTTTGTCAGATATTTGTGATGATCTAAAAAATATTAGATAGTATGTTAGATATAGTGTATAATAGATAGTATTACATTATCTAAACGTGATTGAATAAAAATAACAGCAGAAAAACCACTTCACTTTATCGAAACCCTCGAAATATTCCTAAAATTGTTACAAGGACATGTTCCGATAAGAAGTAACGAGAATTATGATACGCACTTTTGCGAACTTTGAAAAATGACTGCTATATTAATGCTTAAGGAATTTAAGTATGCTATTGTCTGTCATTATCTGGATTTAGATATTAATGATATTTTTGGCAATTTAGATATTACTGATATTTTTTTAGCGGTTCTAGAGATACATGTTAGTATCGGTATTATTAAATTGATTATCAATTTAATAATGTAATTGTACAATTCTAGCTTCTAAAGAGACTACGTTTTAAAGGGAACCGTACACGATCACACAGTAATACTGTCAGTACTAAAAAATACTGATAGTATTATTGATCGTGTGGGGACAAGAATGCTGGAATGAACAGAGGTAATGAAAAAGATTCAAATATTTTGATATTTGAGCATCAGTATTGGTAGTACTGTAAGTATTACTGATAGTGTGAAGTTGCGCATCATTATTTCAATCAATATAACAGCTATTGGGCAAGCTGAAGGAGCTTTTATGCCTTGCGACGAAGATTTCGAGCAGCCAGATAGCAATAAATTGCGTAATTTTATTGAACATACGAATATTTACCAGAACTGTGAGATGCATCAAATCCAACGTATATGAATAAAATAAAAAGAAATGCAGCACTCAATAAAATTGAAAGAAAGAGAAGATATTCGCTCGGCAAAATATATCACACACAGTCTTTAATAATACAGTTTGACAATTGATAATACATTATCTACAATAACTTAGTCTCCTACAACACAGATACACATATACATATATACACACACAACAGAAATAATATAAATTTCGTTAAAAAACGCAGTTATCTTTTTAGTCAACAAAATTACATTTAAATGTAAAGATAATAAAATTTCACAAAAATTACAAATAAACATTCTAAACGCCAAATATATAACTATAATAATGAAATACATAAATATAGTAGAAAATAATAAAAAGAAGTTATTATAAACACATATAGGAAACACATTTATACGATTGGACTTATATTTAACAATTTGTAATCAAATCAACACTTATAATAAAATTAGGTTGTATACCTATATACATATGTAATAAATTTTATTTTATAAGATTTATATAAAGTTATATACGAGTTATATGCATCGGAGAGAACAATGTTATAAAAAATTTCTTGTAGAATTAAATTATAAAATTGTGATTTTTCAAAGCGTTCTCCATTGCGATTAACTTTTCTTGTTGCTTATTCAAA